GGGTTCTCCCACCTTTGCTCTCTACTTCTCTGTTCCATCGAAATCAAAATCTCGAACCTATTCTCTGTAATTGAATTATCAAACTGTAGCAAACTTGGGACTTTATTCTTTCCATGGAAGGAGAGAGAGGGAGGCTGACTGGCCCACTGGCCACCGCGAATTCTGAGATTATTATTATTTTTTCATCGGATTGGTATGAGCTGTAATTCTGTGTTGTAACTGTAATTCGGAAATGGTGAGATCGGGAATGAAAATTTTCTCTCCGGCTTCCTATCATCTTACTAACTTGAATTGGTTTCTTCATGAGAGCAAGAGCAAGGGATACCCATGAAGAGAACAAGAGGTTTGAGGATGCTCTTGCGGTATATGATAAGGACACTCCTGATCGATGGATGAAGGTAGCGGCAATGATTCTGGGCAAGACCGTGGTGGACGTCATGAGGCAATACAATGAATTTCTGGTCGTCGTTGGCCATAGAAAAGCTGGCCAGATCCCAATTCCAGGGTATGACACCCCTTCTTTCACATTAGACTTGAGAAACAATCATGGGCTTGACGGGTTTAAGCAATTGTATAGTTCTGGCAGCAGGAGAGCTACCTTGGGTCGGCCCTCTGTATAGGAGGGATTTGGGCATCAGAGAGATTAGAGAGATCTGTGTTATTACAGTGGAAGAGACCTGGGCATCAGAAAGTTTCCAACCATGGAACGAGTGAGAGGAGAATGTGACCCCAGATCAGTGGAGAAGAAATCATGTGTTTTTACAGTCCAAGGGTTCCATTATTGGTTGCAGAGAGCAATGGAGAAGAAAATCCTCGATGAAGAAGAAGCCCTCTGTTAATTAATAATTTTTTTTTAAATAGAAATAAATACAGAAAACTATGAAAAGTAAAAAATTATAGAATATTTGGGGGCACATTTCTAATATTTTATATTAATTGTATTAAATAAATTAAATGTGATAACCAAGAAATGTTTTTATTGATGATGAAAATGAAATACAACACTTAAAACTGACTCAACTGAAATTGTATTCTTGTTTGATGACGGGCCAAAAGTTCAACCTTTTGGTTGAAATGTGATAACCCTTGATGTCATAATTAAATTATAAAAAAAGAAAAAATACTAAATAATGAAAAAATGCAGAAATTTTGTAGAAAACATTTGTGTACATCTATAACATTTTATATTTAATCATATTAAAGTAAAACAAGTGTGATAAGCAAGAATTGTTTTTTATTGATGATGGAAATAAAATAGTGTTCTCCTGCTGTTCACATCTTGTAAAATGACATGATGCTTATGGTGATGAGAATAAACATGATGAGGAGTTAACTCTGATGATGGAGAYAACACTAGTATAGTCATAAGAAGCTAGGCAACCTGTCATCAAGAATAGTGTTCTCCCCTTAGGAAAGGTCGGAAAGAAAGGTCAACTCTCAAAGAATGATACATCCATAATTTACTAAGAAACAAAAAGAATGATACATCCATAAAAATGGAGTGCYTTTGTTGCTGATGAAAAAWATGAAGTACCTTTGTGACATAGGATCGAAATACTTATACCCCTTCCAAGAGGATGGATAGCCAGGGAAGGCAAAGGGAAGGACTTGTGGTCTAACTTTCCACATGGGGGAGAAAAGTTATGAATAAAACAACGATAACCAAAAAATATGGAGAGTAGAAAGAAAACGATACTTAGAATCCATTTGTTCTGTCCAATTCAAGGTCTGGATTGGAGTGGGACCTAGGTTTTAAAAGAGGCTTCAGTGGGTGTGAAATAAGTAATATTTTGTTCTTGCTCCAAAGTCTTGAGAGGGTGGTCTTGGACCCATTAAAAAGGGATAGTCGAATCTGGACTCTTTCATCTAGAGATTCTTTGACTTCTGCATCTTTCTTTAGTTCTTTAGACCCCGTTTGACATTGTTTTTGGTTCTGTTCTTGAGGAAGTTCCTGTTCCAGAACAAGAATTCTGTTTCTTTTTCCTGAGTTCTTACCTGAGTTCTTGGACTATTCTTGTTGGTAGGTTGTTGTCGGAAAAACAAGTGAATCTACAGATTGTTGCTGGTAGAAGAAACCGGTGATGGATGAGTGCGACCTGAATCAACATRYGAAAAACTAGTCAGGGGTTGTCACTGGAGAACATAAAACATGAAAAAGGGAAAACTGTGAGTCATGGTGATGGGGAGAAGAGGACCGTTTGAAGAAATTAGGGCTTTAGAAAGCTAAATTTGTTGTTCTGTCTGAGTTTTTGTAAACACCCTTGTTGACATGTGAAGTCCAAGCCACACATGTTCATAAATTCGAAATAATGTGTTGCTGTGTTGGGAACACCGCCTTTCTCTTGTTCCTGAGAAATGACAAATTTTTCTTGGGGCTCTATTCCAGGACAACGTTTTTCTTGTACTTTTTTTGAATAC